TTGCAGGTTGGGTTTTAGCTCAGGTGTTCAGAAACAATTTTATGGAGTTGCTTTTCATGCACTTTATGGAGTTGCTTTTCATGCATTGGGTTTTTTTTTTCTTTTTAACTCAGGGGCACTTGGCCACTGAGCCACATCCCCAACCCTATTTTGTATTTTACTTAGAGACAGGGTCTCACTGAATTGCTTAGCACCTCACATTCTGCTGAGACTGGCTGTGAACTCAGGATCCTCCTGTCTCAGCCTCTGGAGCTGCTGGGCCATCTCGCCCAGAGGGGTTCTAATTAACATACCAAAGACTGAGAACTGAGCTAATGCTAGACCTCTATCCAAGTCCAAGACTAACCAGTGGGTGGTACACAAATGTGAAAGTCTTGAATAACATTGCAAAGCCCATGAAAGCTGAATTAACATTGAAACCACATCCACAGAAGACAGAATGAGCTGATGGCCTGAAGCTAACCAATAACCATTGCCTGCTAAAACAAATATACCAGCATTCTTCAGAGGATTTAAACAAGACTCAGAATCCCAATGTAATATCCAAAATGTCCCAGATACTATCCAAAATCTCTGAGTATACAAAGAACAATGAAATGCTCCGTTCAGATGGGGAAAGACAACCAATGGATGCCAAGAATGAGATCATTCAGACACTGGAATTATCTGAGAAGAACTTTAAAGCAGTCATTATTAAAAAAATGATTGAATGAGCAATCATGAAAATTCTCAGAACAAATATTAAAATGGAAAGTATTTGAATAGAAAAGAGAACATGTAAATGTCAGCAAAATGGAAATTTTAGAAATGAAAGATAAAATTAGAAAGATAACTGGGTGGCCAGGCTGGATGGCACACACCTGTAATCCCAGCAGTTTGGGAGGCTGAGGCAGAAAGATTCCAAGTTCTAGGCCTGCCTCAGCAACTTGGTGAGATCCTGTCTCAGAATAAAAAATAAAAAGTGTTGGGGTATAGCTCAGTGGTAGAGCACTGTTATGGTTTGGAAATGAGGTATCTCCCAAAAATTCATGTGTGATACAACACAAGAGGTTTAGAGGAAAAATGTTTGGGTTATGAAAGCCTTAACCCAATCAGTGGATTAACCCCTGACAGGGATTAATTGAGTGATAACTGAGGGCTGGTAGGGTGTGGCTGGAGGAAGTGAGTGCCTGGGGGTGTGGTTTTGGGGTATATATTTTGTATCTGGAAAGTAGATCAGCTTTCTGATCATCGTGTGAGCTGCTTCCTTCTACCACATTCCACTGCTATGATGTTCAGCCTCACCTTGAGTCCTGAGGAATGGAAATGGCTGTCTATGGACAGAGACCTCTGAAACTGTGAGCCCTCAGATAAACTTTTCCTCCTTAAAATTGTTCTTGTCAGGTATTTTAGTCATAGCAGTGAAAAAGCTGACTAAAATAAGCACCCCTGGGTTCAATTACTGCCCCCTGCCAAAGAAAGATAATTGAGTGCTAGATGAGATCAGTAGAAGAATAGAATAAAGATGACAGAGGAACAATCCAGTGAACTTGATGATAGATCAAGAAATATTATCGAACCAGAACAACAGAAAGGGTAAAATTGAAAAAATTCAACAATCTCAGGCGAAACAACAAAAAGTCTAATATTCAAGTCACTGGGTTCCTAGAAAGAAAGGTTCATGGGGCAGTAAAAATATTTGAACTAATAATGGCTTCAAATATCTCAAGCTAGATAATGACATCTACCTAGAGATTCAAAAAAATGAGCAAACTCAAAATGGGATAAAGTCAAATAAATCCACATCCAGACACATCAGAACTGTTGCAAACAAAAAACAAAACATTTTGAAAGCAGTGAGAAAAGAATGACTCATTTACCTGAAGGGGAACAACTGTAGCTTTTTTATCAGAAACCAAGAAGGCCAGAAGGAAATGGCACATTTTAAAATGCTGAAATGCTAAAAGAAAGGAATTAGCAACCCTGAATTCCATATCTGGTAAAAATAGCCTTTAGAAATGAAGGTGAAATCAAGACATTCTTATATGAAAGAAAATTAAGAGAAGTCGCAGGCAGCATACCTGGCCTAGAGGAAGTATTAAATGAAATCCTTTAGACAATAAAAAAGGATAAAAGAAAGAAACTCAGAAAATCAGGAAGGAGGAAGAACAACAGGAATGGTAAATATCTTGGTAAACATAATGAGCTTTTTTGTGGGGGTGGGGTGGGGGGATTGAACCCAGGGATACTTAACCACTCAGCCACATCCCCAGCCCTTTATATATTTTATTTTTAAAGAATTTGTTTTAATTAGTTATATATGACTATATTTTATTTTGAGACAGGGCCTTGCTAAGTTGCTGAGGACTGGCTTTGAAGTCCTCCTGCCTCAGCCTCCCCAAGCCATTGGGATTATAGGTGTGTGCTACTGCATGCAGCATGAGCTATTTTTCTCCTTTTGAGTTCTTTAAAACTTGCTTCATAGTTAAAAGCAAAATATGTAACATTGAGTGAAAGTACAGTCATGCTCCACTTAACAAGGTGAATATGTTCTGAGCAATGCATGATTAGATAGTTTTGTCATTGTACAACCATCACAGAGTATACTTGTACAAGTTAGATGGTTACTATGGTACAATGTTACTAGGCAATATAGTCTTTTTTTTTTGTACTGGGGATTGAACCCAGAGGCACTGAGTCACATCCCCAGCTCTTTTTATTTTTCACTTAGAGACAAGGTCTTGCTAAGTTGCTTAGGGCCTCACTAAGTTACAATCCTCCTGCTTCAGTCTCCCAACCTGCTGGGATTACAGACATGTAAGAATATATTGCTAGGCAATATAACCTTATGTGACCACTGTTGTATATGCATGTGGTCCACCCTTGACTGAAACATGTGGCACATAACTGTATACAGACATAGTATATAATAACATAACAAGAAGGAGGAAGGGTAAGGGTTATACATCAAAAGGAAAGTGGTAAAGTATTGATTCTAATAGACTAAGAAATGTTAATTTGGGGCCTGGGAGTTTAACTCAGTGGTAGTATGCTTGCCTAGTATAGACAAGGCCCTGGATTTGATCCCCAGCACCACAAAAAACAAAGCAAAACAAAATAAAAATCTTTGTATTTTATAATCCCTAAAGCAATCACTGAAAAAATTATGTAAGTAGATATAGTTAGAATCAAAAGGTACAAGAAAATGTTCAAATAACCCAAATGAAGGCCCTAAAGGAAACAGAAAAATAAACAGGAAAAATGAAAGCAAATAATAAAATGGCAGACCTAAATCTAAACATATCAATAATTATACCAAATATCAATGGTATACACACATAAATGAAAATACAGAGATTGTCAGAAGGATAAAATAATGGCCCAACTATATGATAAATAAAGAAACTCAAAATATAATGACTCAGGTAATTTTCAAGTAAGATGATGGACAAAATATAAATATGAGCTGGGTGTGGTGGCACAAGCCTGTAATCCTAGTGACTCAGGAGGCTGAGGCAGGAGGATCACTAGTTCAAAGCTAGCCCCAGCAACTTAGTGAGGCACTTAGCAACTCAGAAGACCCTGTCCCTAAATAGAATGTAAAAAAGGGCTGGGGATGTGGCTCAGTCCTTAAGCACCCCTGGGTTCAATTCTCAGTACCAAAGGAAAAAAAAATCTAGTTCTTGAGCTGGTGGTGTAGTTAAGTGTTAGAATGCTTGCTTTAGCATGTGAGATGTCCTGGGTTTGATTCCTGGGCACTGCAAAAAAAAAAATTGTCTTCCAAGATAAAATTCAAAAAGCGAGGCACTATGGTGCATACCTGTAGTCCAAGCTACTTGGGCTACTTGAGAGTCTGAGGCTGAAGGATTGCTTGAGCCCAAAAGTTGGAGGCCAGCCTGGGCAACATAGAGAGACTTGTCTCAAAAAAAAAAAAAGAAAGAAAGAAAGAGAGAGGAGAGAGAGAGAGAGAGAGAGAGAGGAAGGAAAGGAAAAATCTCCAGGTCCAAATGGTTGGAACTTTGCCAAATATTTAAAGACTAAATAACCATAATTACACACTATCCTTTCCAGATAATTATTATTATTGTTGTTGTTACTACTACTTCTACTACTACTACTACTTGGTACCAGGGATTGAACTCAGAGGTACATTACTACTGAGACACATCACCAACCATTTTTATTTTTTGTTTTTAAAAAATATTTATTTTTTAGGTGTAGTTGGACACAATACCTTTATTTATTTATTTTTATGTGGTACTGAGGATCACAGTACCCAATTTTAAGGCTAATTTATAGTGACAGAAAGCATATTAGTGGCTTCTTGGGAATAGGACACAAGTATACAGAGAAATCAAAGAAATGATTACAATGGGACATAAAGAAAAGTGTGAGGGTAGTAGAGAGATTAATTACCTTGTTTATGGTGTTTGTATTATTAATGTGCGTATATATCTGACAAAATATACACATATGTATATATATACATATACATGACAAGTTTGTCAAATTGTACACTTTAAATATGTGTAGCCTAATTATAACTCAATAAAGCTACTTAAAAAATTCTCTCCAAGCCTGATGCTGAGGTGCATGCATATAATCCCAGTGACTTGTGAGGCTGAGGCAGAAGGAGCACAAGTGCAAGGCCAGCCTCAGCAACTTAGCAAGACCCTGTCTTCAAATGAAAAATAAAAAGGGCTGGGATGTAGCTCAACGGTAGAGTGCCCCAGGGTTCAATCCCCAGTACCAAAACCCAAATCAAACCAAACAAAAACAAAGCTCTCCAAAGTGTCATACTACTTTTATATCCAGTAGGTGGCAGTTGGAACCAGGAATTTTGCCAGAGTGTTAGCGTCTTATCCTCCAGTAGTACTTTAGTTTGTAAAATAACATATGGGAAGAGTAATAACAAGCAAAAAATAATAACAAACAGAACCAAACCCAAAAGAGTAATAATAAGGTAGGTTAGCTTCATGGTATATTTTATGAGATTATGATGAAAACAAAAAGGAACATAATTGTAATAAATCATTATCAAGTTTCTGTTTATTAGTTTTTGAATCTTTAGATAAAGTAAGTAGGGAATGCAGAATAAAGAACAGATATGGTCCCATTCCAACCACCCTGAGATACTTGTAAAAGTTAAGAGGCTGGTTGATAGTTGAACAACTCTTTTTTTTTTTTAATCTTTATTTAATCTTTTTTTAATGTGGTGCTGAGGATCGAACCCAGTGCCTCATGCATGGCAGGCTAGTGCGCCACTACTTGAGCCACATCCCCAACCCCTGATAGTTGAACAACTCTTTGCATTTTTATAAGACCTTTTACTGAAAGTCTTAGAGTGTGTTAACAAAACCACCTGACATCCCCTGTTAAAAATGCTATACTTTAAAAAAAAATGTAAATTAATGTGGCAGGGTTATAGCTTAGGGGAAAAAGCATGTACTTAGTATGCATGAGGCCCTGAGTTCAATCACTAGTACCCCAAAATTGTAAAATCAAAATTTAACCCTGTTAATATCATTGCTTCATTTTTCTAATCTAGATTGAAATTTCAGCCCCAGTATTCTCTGCTTGTCTTCAAAGCCTCATTCAGCATGAAGGAAAATCTGTTACTCATCCAGCGTAGGGATAGGGGGCAATTCCTTTGACCCCCAGGCCAGTTATCTGTTGGAAAAGAGAGAAACTCTGAAAAAAGTTAATTCACAAATATTCTTCAAAAGCATCCTCCTTCCCCATTGAACACAGGGGTGTTTAACCAATGAGCCACATCCCTAGCCTGTTTTAAAAAAATTTTTTTTGAGACAGGGTCACGCTAAGTTGCTCAGGGCCTTGCTAAATTGCTGAGGCTGGCTTTGAACTCTTGATCCTCCTGCCTCAGCCTCCTGGGTCTCTGGGATTACTCTCTGGGACCACAGAGACATCAAATTTATTTCTATCATCTTCCTACCTGTTAAGGAAGTGATTCCTATATTTCTACATTTCTTTTCAGCTCAAAAAAGTCTGTGATTTTTGTCAATGTTTGTTCTGTTGCAAAAATAAATTATCAAAAACCTGAAAATAGGGCTGGGATTGTGGCTCAGCGGTAGAGCACTCGCCTAGCAGGGGTGAGACCTGGGTTCAATCCTCAGCACCACATTAAAAATAAAAGGCATTGTGTTGTGTCCATCTACACCTGAAAAATAAATGTTAAAAAATCCCTGAAAATATTCTTAAGATATAAAAATAATCAAGTGATCTTGTAAACATGTTTCAGACATCAGTTTTCCAAGCTCATTTTATTCATTTGATGGATACTAACAAATACTACTAAAGCTCAAAAATATTTTAAAATACTGTACAAAGTAGGTTAAATATATCATCCTGGACTCTAGGTAACAGCCTAAAAAATCTAAATAAAATACTTTTAGGTCTAGCATGATAAGCTTAACACATCAACTAGAATTATGTTTTGAAAGTATGCAAAAGCACCACTCAGTTCTCTACCTCACCCCCCAAATAAAAGAAATAGTTATATTACCTTGAAAATTCCACCAGCTTCAGGTTGCCTCAGAAGACTCTCAGAGTCCATTCCATCCCGGGCACAGGTGACATACATTTCAGAGTAATCCTTTCCTCCAAAGCAGCATGAAGTTGTTTTGTCAACAGGCAACTTCACTGTTTGGAGTCTTTTCCCTAAATTGCCAAATAGTTTATTTGAAGTTTAGTTCTAAAAGATTCCAACCTGTAAAGTATTTCTGGACCCCTTGTGGAGTTCTAAGAAGACCATACAGGTCAGAACTCATCCATGTATTTAAGTTGCCTTCCCTGATGATTTATTTTGAGCAAAGAGACTTACCTCTATAGGAAAAGAAGTTCTGCTTGTAAATTTTGGGTTATATCTTTGGCCTTTTCTAAAATCATCCAGATGAGACCAGTGAATATATCTCTAACTTTACTAGTAATGAAGTCCCTAGCATCTGGTGCTTTCTAGACTTGGCAAAGATTGCACTTTGCTGTGGGCCTACCTGTCTCAGGATCTAAACGAATCACTCTTCCTCCATTGTAGCAGGCCACCCAAAGCTTCCCCTCAGTGTCAATACACATTCCATCTGGGATTTGCTCATCTTTCTCCAGCTTGTAAACACTTCTTCGGTTGGCTATGGTTAAAATAACAAAACCAAAAACACAAGAAAGCAACAGGCCATTCAATACAGAGAATCACACAATGAACTCTTAAGCTGATTATAAATACTGATCACCTCTGCTTATCCAGTGTCTGGCATGTGAACAAAGGATTATTACCACATGATTTGGGGTGAATTAACTCCCTTTTGTTTTGGTACAGACATATGTGCCTCAGCTTTCAGAAGAAGATGGAAAAAAAGAATTATTTTATTTTTGTGTTTCTGGGGATGGAATTCAGGGCCTCACATATGCTAGGCAAGTGTTCTACCTCTGAGTTTGTCCTCCAATCCAAGTAAACTTCTTTGTTTTTGGTACTATTTGGTACTGGGGATTGATTCTTGGCATATTTTACCATTGAGCTACATCCCCAGTCCTTTTTATTCTTTATTTCAAGACAGAGTCTCACTAGATTTCTGAGGCTGGCCTTGAAGTTGTGATCCTTCTGCCTCAGCCTGCTGAGTTGCTGGGATTACAGGCATGGGCCACTGTGCCCAGCTCCAAGTAAACTTCTTAATAAAATATCAATCGAGCAGAGAGGAGGGTGTGTGTGTGTGTGTGTGTGTGGGAAGACGGTAGAATTAAATGGACATTATTACCCCTATGTATGGGTATAATTGCATGCATGGTGATTGTACATCATGTACAACCAGAGAAATGAAAAGTTGTGCTCCATTTGTTTAAAAAAATAAAATAAATTAATAAAAATATCAATAGGTAGTTATCTTTGAGACTGACCTGAACTAAGGCCCTGTAGGCCCATCTCAGATACTCTTTAGTCTTGTGGTTACACTTTTGCTGTTTTAGTTACAAAAATGCCTACTTTGATTAAGTCTAAGATCTATAAAGCAACTTAATGGTGAACAAATTGTGCCCTCAAACTAGGAAGATATATGAGATTTTTTTTTCTGCCTGACCACATGTTCCAAAATCAAGACTAAATATTAGAAGAAATTGCATAGGAAAGGAGGGACATCCTGAAACCCATTGCCTGGTTAAAGTGGGGGATCATGGTATACAAAAAAACACACATCAAAAAGTACAGGACTGGGTGGTGCATGCCTGTAGTCCCAGCAACTCAGGAGACTGAAGCAAGAGGATCACAAGTCTAAGCAACTTAGCAAGCCCCTCTCTCAAAATAAAAAATAAAAAGGGCTGAAGATGTAGCTCAGTGGTAAAGTGTTTCTGTGTTCAACCCTCCTTACCAAAGGAAAAAAAAAATCAGGTCACTACAGTAATCAGATTGAAATATAATGGAAAAATGTTCAAACCATGTGTAAGGAAAATGGATAAAAACAGTCATAAAAAAGAACACTACATATTTCAAAGCAAAAGTATCTGTACTAGAATATTTTACCTCTGATTAAATCTGCATGGAGAGCCTTGTGATTTTTTTCAAGTCATTTTTATGATTGGTTTTGCTCTTTTGGTCTGGCACCTTTCATCAAACAGTTCAAGGACTCCCTTCTAGATTTTTCTAAATAATTCCTTCCTTCCTAGTTTCCAAATATGTCTTATTTACAGCACATTGATGGAATTGAACCAACCTGTAACTGCTTTTCTGTTTTCAAAGTTGTTAATTTGTCTCTGAGTACTAGTCCATGATCATGTAAAGTACAAATAAAGATTATGAACCAAACTCTAATTTTCTTTTATCTCACACTGTTCTATATTATTGGTCTTTAGGTACTTCTGTTAGAACAGGATTCTTTTTCCAGAGAATACCTTTCTGATGATGGTGGAAAGAAAGGATTAATGGTCTATGCATATTAGGCCAATCTTGACCACATTTTCATTGTGTTGAGGGCCACAGTTTAGCAGTTCAGTTAAGTCTGTGTAATCATTATTATATGGGAATAATAACATTGGAAAATTCTGTATTTGACAGTAAGGACCTCTTCACATGGGTTGAGGAAGAGGTGCCTTACTAATCACAAACATGAAAAATATACCAGAAGTATTGAGAAAAATAATGATAAAGTACATACAGATCTGTCCTGTCTGCAGGTTGTAGTCAAAGGCATCCACAGAGTAGGATAGGCTGTCAATGTAATAAAAGATTTTGTGGTCCAGGGACCAATCCAACCCATTGGAAATGTCCACTTGGTCAAAGTACTTCTTCACATGGTGGTCAGGAAAGAGAGAGTACAGGGACCCTTGGTGTCGCTCAAGTACTGCTGGGGCTGTTTCCTCGGCCATGGTACCTACAAAAACCAAAGAGCACTGAGCTGGGCCCCACAGTATCTCATTCCATGCACAACACCATTCTTTCTCATCAGAGATCCTTTCCAGTGTTTAAATCAAGGGAATTGCCAGGTATAGTAGCACACGCCTCTAATTCCAGTGGGCTGGGAGGCTGAGGCTGGAGGATTGCAAATTCCAAGCCAGCCCCAGCAAGTTAGTGAGGCCCTAAGCAACTTAGAGAGACCCTGTCTCAAAATAAAAAAAATAGAAATAAAAATAGGGGCTGAGGTTGTGGCTCAGTAGTAAGAGCATTTGCCTAGCATGTGTGAGGCCCTAGGTTCGATTCTCAGCACCACATACAAATAAATGAATAAAATAAAGGTTCATAACATCTAAAAATATTTAAAAAAAGAAAAGGAGTGTATGTGTGTGTGTGTGTGTGTGTGTGTGCATCTTTTTTTTAGAGAGAGAGAGAGAGAATTTTAATATTTATTTTTTAGTTTTCGGTGGACACAATATCTTTGTTTGTATGTGGTGCTGAGGATCAAACCCGGGCCACATGCATGCCAGGCGAGCGCGCTACCGCTTGAGCCACATCCCCAGCCCCATAGGTGTGCATCTTAAAAAAATAAAAATAAAAAGGGCTGGGGATGTGGCTCAGTGGTTAATCGCCCCTGGGTTCAATCCCTGGTACCAAATAAAAAATAAATAATCTTAAAAAAATAAACCAGGAAATTACTATACATCTCAAGTTGGGATACACATCATATATATGTATATATGCATATATATTTACTTTTTTGTGGTACTAAGGATTGAACCCAGGGGTGCTCTATTGAGCTAAATCCCCAGCCCTATTTATTTATTTGGTACTGGGGATGGAACTCAATGGTGCTTAACCACTGAGCCATATCCCCAGCCCTTTATTTTTTGAGACAGGGTCTCATTAAGTTGCTTAGGGCCTCACTAAGATGCTGAGGCTGACCTCGAACTTGTGATCCTCTTGCCTCAGCCTCCTAAGTCACTGGAATTACAGGCATGAGACACCATGCCTCACTCTTTATTTTTTCAGGCAGGGTTTCATTAAGTTGTTGAAGGTCTCCCTAAATTGCTGAGCTGGCCTTAAACTTGCAATTTTCTTGACTCTGCCTCCTGAGTCACTGGGACTATAGACAAGCACCACTACACCAAATTTAGGTTTTACATTTTTAAAAATGACAAATACCTTGCTTATAATGCAAATTAAATCTATGCTGAGGGTCTGGGGTTGTGGTTCAGTGGTAGAGCATGTGTGAGGCACTGGGTTCAATCCTCAGCACCACATACAAATAAAATAAAGGTATTAAGAAAAAATTATGCTGAGACATCCCGATTCCTAATAAGATGGGGTAGACATGTGCCAACTTCATTTTCTCCTACTGAGAACAACTCTAAAACCTGGACAACATGCATGGTACAGCTATTTATTTATTTATTTATTTATGTATCACTAGGGATAGAACCTGAGGCCTTGTGCATGCTAGGCAAGTGCTTTACCACTGAGCTACATCACCAGCCCTTATATTTTTATTTATTTATTAGTATATTTTTAGTTGTTGATGGACATTTATTTTATTCATTTATTTATATGCAGTGCAGAGAATTGAACCCAGTGCCTCACACATACTAGGCAAGCTCTCTACCACTGAGCTACAATTCCAGTCCCCTAATTTTTATTTTGAAGGGTCTTACTAAGTTGCTTAGGGCCTTGCTAAGTTGCTAAAGCTGACCTTATTCTTCTCCTGCCTCAGCCTCCTTAGTCACTGGGATTACAGGCATATACCACCATGCCTGGTCAAGAAAAGGAAAATCTTGAAGCTCAGAGGGCATGGAAGAAGCACCTGGGTTATTTTCCATTCTGTTTTCTCCTTTTTCTCATGCACCAGTCTCTAGACAGTTTGCTAGCAGGGGTAGCAACAGCAGAGTGGCCAGAAATAGGAAACTACAGGAATCAAAACTCTGAAAGAAGGGGATATTCCTTTCCATTTGGTTATGCTGCATGCCAAGCACTTTCACTTTGATTCTTTTTTAAACCCTTTGCTTTTAAATTCTTTTCTTCTCTGTCCTTTTGCTGCTTGGCCCCATAGGCAGCATCATCATAGAAATGGGTGGTTTCTGGCTAGAGAAATGAAAAGGAGAGCTCCAGGAAACTGGAAAGTACTGAGAGATAATAAAGAGGCAGTTGCTGAGGAATGCAATCCTCCAAAGCTATTTAGGAACGCCTAGGCTCACCCCCAATTTGTACATACATGTATTGGATTCTAATCAGTATATTAAAGATTTGGGGCCCAGCGTGGTATAATTCCAGCTATTTAGGAGGCTGAGGCAGGAGGATTACAAGTTCAAGGCCAGCCTGGGCAACTTAGTGAGACCCTGCCTCAAAATAAAACAAAAAAGAGGGGCTTGGGATGTAGCACAGAGGTAGAACCTTCTTGTGTTCAATTTCCAGAACCACCACCAACAAAAACAACAAAAAAGATTTTTGGAGTGAAGCCAATGGACCTTCTATACCAGACCGATTACTGACAGGCACACATATGGGACAGATGCTCATAGTACCTAATAGAAAGCATGTTGGAATTTGTGGTCTTACCCTAAACATATATAGTGCCTGCTAAGACAATTATAACAACATGTTCTATAGGATTTAAACAGGACTCAGGGGCTTCTCATATTCAAAATGTCTAAGATACAACAGAAGATGATTTGATACTATAGTTTGGGTATTGGATGTCCTTAAAGGTCCATGTGTAACAGGCTTGGTCCCTAGGGTGGTGCTACTAGGAGGTGCTGTGGATCTTTAGGAGGTGAGGTCTCATGGGAAGTCCTTAGGTAATGGGGTGGGGGGTGCCCTTGAAGGGGATTGTGGGACCCTGGCTGGTCTAGTCACTCTTTGCTTCTTGACTCAGGAGGTGAGCAGTTTGCTGTGTTATGCATTTCTACTATGATGAGCTGCTTCACCAGAGACTCAAAACAATGGGTCATGAACTGGGACCTCCAAAACTGTGTGCCCAAATAAAATTTTTCTCTTCTTTTTAAATTTTTACAAATTTTCTTTAGTTATATATGGACACAACGCTTTTATTTATTTTTATGTGGTGCTGAGGATCAAACCCAGTGCTTCACACATGCTAGGCAAGCGCTCTACCATTAAATTACAACTCCAGATCCAAAAACTTTTCTCTTTACAAGTTGATTCCCTCAGATATTTTGTTATAGTGACAGAAAACTGACTAATACACTTGGTAACATAAAGAGACATGGAAATAAACTCACATAGGAAACTACAATCAACAGATGCTGAAAATGATATGGCAGATGTTGGAATTATTTCACAAAGACTACTACAACTCAAAAACAGTCTTCAAACAAAACTCAAAATTGAAAATATCAGCAAGGACATACAAGATATAAAGAATAACCAAATGAAGATTTAAGAAATGATTTTTTTGAGACTGATTTTTTTTTATTTTGTCCAGACTGGCCTCAAACTCCTGGGCTCAAGTAATCTACCTGCTTTAGACTCCCAAGTAGCAGGGACTATAGGTATGCATCCCCACATCCAGCTTAGAACTGAAAATTTTAGGATTGACTCAATAGCAAAATAGTGATGACAGAAAAGAATCAGTGTTCCTGATGATAGACAAATAGAAATTATACTATCTGGGACTAGGGGAATAGCTCAGTGGTAGATAGTATGCTTAGCATGTGCAAGGCCCTAAGTTCAATCCCCAGCTCCCCATCCCCTGCAAATATTATACAATCTGAACCGGAGAGGAAGAGAAAAAATATTGGAAGAAAAAGGAACAGAGCCTCAGGGATCAATGGAACAAAAAGGCTAATGCATCACCGCCCCCACCACGCTTGGGGAAAAGCATAAAACTATAGATCCAAGAATGTGAGCAAGCCTGGCATGGTGGTACATACCTGTAATCCTGGAGGCTGAGGAAGGAGGATTGTAAATTCAAAGCCAGCCTCAGCAACTCATTGAGGCCCTAAGCAACTCAGTGAGACCCTGTCTCTAAATAAAATACAAAAAGGGCTGAGGATGTGGCTCAGTGGTTAAGTGCCCTTGGGTTTAATACCTGGTATAAAAATAAAATGGTGAGCGAGGGCTGGGGTTGTGGCTCAGTGGTAGAGCACTTGCCTAACACATGTTAGGCACTGGGTTTGATCCTCAGCATCACATAAAAATAAACAAATGAAATAAAGGCATTTTGAAAAAGAAGGTGAGCAACTCCAAACCAGGATAAATGCATGCTTAGACACATAATCAAATTGCTGAAAATTAAAATCAAATTTGTAAGCAATGAAAGAAAAATGACACATTACACATAGGGGAATAATGATTTCAGAGACAAAGAAAGGAACTAAATATTTAAAATGGTCAGTTTACTAAGAATATATAGTAATCCTAAACGTGTGTGTGCTTAACAACAGAGCTTCAAAATACGCAAAGCAAAAGTCAGAAGTGGGGATCTAGCTCAGTTGGTAGAATACTTGCCTCGCATGCACATGGCCCTGTGTTCAATCCCCAGCATCACACACATAGAAAAAGTCAGAAGTGAAAGGAGAAATAGAAAAAATATAGAATTATTGTTGGAGACTATCACCATTCTTTTCTCAGTAATAGATACAAGTAGATATAAAATCAGTAAAGACATAGAAGAATGGAATACCCTCAGCCAATTGAATCTAATTGATATCTGTAGAACACTCCATCCAACAACAGAAGACACATTCTTCTCAAATGCATATAGAATATTTTATTTATTGTAGTCATTATTCGATATTCTGAACTTGAGTGTGACCTCAGGGAACAGAGCAGAATCTGACTATAATGAAGAAACTGGAAAGCTCACCTACTGTATCATATATCATCTGAAAGAAAAGCAAGTTAGAGGAGGAAAATGAATTATAAATGGGAAACCTGAATAGCAAGCAAGACCAGGTAGTTCTTCCAATCCTGGGAAGAAGGATGATCACAGAGCAATTTCTTGTTATAGGACATTTGAGTTTGTTTCATGAATATTCATCTACACTATCTGTCTCACAGGAAGAGATGCCTGGAACATGAATGTGAAAGGCCTCCTTGGAAAGGGCTTTTCCTTATTGAGAGAGAATAACCTGGTGTGTGCTTTACCATGTAGTAATGAGCACAGACATGTCAGACCTTGGGTGTGGTGATACTTCCAGGGTATGATCACCAGGAGACTCCTTCTAGACTGTCAGATGTCTCTTTTCTGGGCCTGAGACATTTCTAAGCACCTGCTGAGAACTATGACCCTTCTCTTGAAAAATGTCCCCAGGTGCTTCTGGCAGTGCATACCACCAGTAGGTACAACCATGATGACATAATTTTCAGGGGTTTTCTGATGACCCAGAGACTCCAGATTAAGAACTCAGGTCTCAGGATGGGCCTGGTAGCTTGGAAGGCTGAGATAGGAGGACTGCATTTGAGACCACCCTCAGCAACTTAGTGAGGCCCTAAGCAACTTGGACAGAGCCTGTCTCAAAATAAAAACATAAGAAGGGCTGGGATTGTAGCTTAGGGATCAAGTGAACCCCCCTGGGTTCAATCCCCAGTATTGAGGACAGCAAAACAAAGCAAAACTCAGGCCTTAGAAGATATCTTTTTTCTCATAAAGTATCACAGAACTGTAAACTTCTAGGCATAAGGGAGAGAGAAAAAAATTGACTTCATTAGGAAGATCCAATTATATAGTAGAGGATAGGAAAGGCAGCAGAATACAACAGACACTAGTATGGCAATATGTAAATCAATGGATGTGTAACTGATGTGATTCTGCAATCTGTATATGGGGTAAAAATGGGAGCTCATAACCCACTTGAATCAAATTGTGAAATATGATATATCAAGAACTATGTAATGTTTTGAACAGCCAACAATAAAAAATTAAAAAAAAAAGATCCAATTATAATTCTTTATCTTCAAGCAATTACTGGCAGAAGGGCTTCTAGTGGCTTTTCATCTTTAACCTTTCAACCTGCCCTGCACAATATCTATGGTCATATAAAGTCCAGGAAGTTGGGGAACATTTTACAGCCAGCTGCTCAGATCTCATGTGCCTTCCATGGTGACAGTGAATGGAGCCAGGATAGTGTCATCAACAGCCATGAAGGGACAGCGTGGGAAGGTGGAAATATCAGGGACGAAGATCAACTTTGGCTAATTTATAAGGTTGTTAATGATGTAAGGTATATGTCTGAAGTGCAATATCTAATTTGAAACTGTTAACTAAAATTTTTTCAAAGCTGAATAGAAGTCATTCTGCAGCCATCATAGTCAAGATTGGTTCAAACAAGAATTAACAATGACTTAACAGAGCAATTTGGATGAGTACCAGAGCAATTTGGATGAGTACCAGAGTATTTGCTTGGATTTAAAGTATCTCTCCATGTTGCATCCAGCCTCAAGAAACCTAACTTTCTTTTTCAGTGCTAGAGATTGAACCTAGGGACACTCTACCACTGAGCTACATGCCCAGACCTTTTTTATTTCTTATTTTGAAGCAGGGTCTCACTAAGTTGCCCAGGCTGGACTGAAACTTGTGATCTTTCTGCTTTAGCCTTCCAAGTAGCTGGGATTTGGCTTCAAGATAGGTCCAAATGATCCCTGCCTCTCAGTATTAACACTCTTGTGTAGACCTCTCCATCCATCATTGTCTGTGTGATCCATATCAGACAGCAGAAACGATAATATATCACTTCTAGGATTTGTTATAAGACTATAGCTTTCATCCTGCATGTTTTTCTCCCCTGCCCCTCATCACTAGCTCTAGGGGAAGTCTGTCTTAAACAGTCCTATGGAAATACCCATGTAGTAAGAAATTGAAGATTCCCTCTTGTCCACCCCTATGTGAGTGAACCTGGAAGCAAATCCTCCAAGTTCCTTCAGAGAATCCATCCCCAGCTGACAGCTTGATTACAAGTTCATGAGACAGAATGAAACAGAATCATCTAGCTACACCCACATTCTTGACCTTCAGAAAATACGTGTGATAATATGTATTTGTTATTTTAAGCCACTAACTTTCAGGGTAATTTGCTACATAGTGATATAACTAACAAATCCTACAAACTGCTTATAAATTGCAGTGAAGCTGGGCATGGGTGTGGTGGCGCATGCTTGTAATCCCAGCTGCTTGAGAGGGAGGTTGAGGCAGGAGGATCTCGGAGTTCAAAGCCAGCCTCAGAAATTTAGCAAGGCCTTAACCAACTCAGTGAGACCTTGTCTCTAAATAAAATAAAATAAAGAGCTGAGGATGTGGCTCAGTGGTTTCATGTCCCTAGATTCAATGCTTGGTACCAAAAAAAAAATGCAGTAAAAAAACAGTTATTGTAGACAGGTGCAGAGGTACATAACTGTAATCCCAGCTACTTGGGAGGCTGAGACAGGAGGATCACAAGTTCAAGGCCAGCCTGGGCAACATAGTAAGACCCTGTCTCTAAATAAATAAATAAGGGCCAGGGATGTGGCTCAGTGGCAGAACACATCTGGGTTCAATCCCTACTGTCATACACACAAACCCACAAAACAAAGCAAAGCAAAACAAAACAAAACAAAACAAAACACACTTACTATGAAATAGAGAAATCTGACAGGACCTTAACCTGGTGACTAAAATTAACATCACCAATGAGGGGCAGAGGGACATCATGTGCCTCCACATGAGATACTCTGAGGACAGAACATCACTTACACAGTATTCCAGCCAAGAGTGAATAACATTAAACTAATCACAAGGAAACATCAGATTACTACAAAATGAAGAATGTTCTATTAAAAAAAGTGTTGGGGGAGTTAGGTGGGACTGAATCCTTTAAAAATGGTAATGCCATAAAAAACAAAGAAAGCCCATGGAAGTGTTCCAGATTAGAGGATGAAAAGATAAGGCAAGAAAGTCTAACACACTATCCCAGATTTGATCCTTTATTAAAAGGAGAAAAATTCTTTTTGTGTGTGTGCTGCTGGGGATTGAACCCAGGGCCTTGGCATGCTTAGGTACTCCCTCCACTACTCAGCTATACTCACAGCCCAAAAAATTCTATAAAGGATATTTGGTCAATTCACATAACTAAAATATAGACAGTACATCAGATAAAGTTATTGAATCAATGTTAAACTTCTTCACGTTGGAAGAATATATTATTTTTCTTGGGAAATTCACACTCAAGTAGTCTAGGGGTAAAGACTCATGATTTATATGCAACATATTCTCAAATGATTCTGGAGATAGTTAAGTTTAGACAGAGCAAATGTTAAAGGAAGAGGAACAAAATGTTAGCAGGTGATTTTAGGCAAAAGGTGTACAGTTGTTTTAGTATTATTACATTTTTCCTGTAAATTTGTTTTTGTGTGTGGTACTGGGGATTAAAATCAGGGTTTCACACGTGCTAGGCAAGTGCTCTATTATTAAACTACACCCCAAGCCCTTTTTATTTTTATTTTAAGACAACCTCGCTAAGTTGCCCAGACTGACCTTTAACTTTCTGCTGCCTCAGCCTCCTGAGTATTTGGGATTACAGCATGCACAGTGGCACTAGCTCTGTAAAATTGAAATTATTTCCAATTTAAAGGGACTGGGGATGTAGCTCAGTGGTAGAGTGCTTGCTTGCCTAGCATGTCTGAGGTCCTAGGTTTCATCCCCTGCACCACAAAAACAAAACAAACAAACAAAATCTAAGACCCTCTTGAATAACACTTTGACTACTACAGCAGTGAGAACTTTCCAAGTCATAGTGTTTCCTTCAAATCTCAGCAAGCAGATGCTAGAAAAAAACCATACCAGCAAAGTATCTCCCAGCGGGATCCACCTTCCCATCATTGAATCGATTATTTTTCTTGTCTTTATCCACTGTAGCCAGCACAACTACTGATTGATCCTCCCAGTTCAAAGCACAGAACTTTGTTCCAACTGTGGCGACATAGCCTCCTGACTGGCGGAGGGCCACTGAGCTGACTGGGGTATCTGTAGAGGCAAAAGCAATAGTTAGAAGACAACAAACAGTCCAGTGGCTAAGCAGCACACTGAGGCCATGATGTTACCTGACATCTCTTAAAGAAGGACTCTACTGATTTTGATAATGGGAGCGTTCTCTTCCTCCTGTTGAATAGCAAAGGCTACATAACTCAATATATTTTTTTGAGCATGAACTCTATATGCTGTTTTGGGTAGCAAAGATAGGAAGGTGAATATGATCCAACTCCTTTGAAAGCTCCCAGGCTCAGGGGAGAAGAGAAGTCAAACCACAGCAACTGAGGCTGGGCATGTGGCTCTATGGTAGAGTGCTTGCCTAGCATGCATGAGGCCCTGGGTTCAAGACCCTGCACCAAAACAAAACAAAACAAAAAAAATCACTGCAGCCTCAATACACCTGGGCAGGCACTACCTCAAATCTACAGAGTGAGTCCCTAATCTCGGGGTACCAAAAGAGTCCACATAGAGTGAGTGATACTCAATTTGCCTGACTTCCAGGAAATTTGGAGACTTGAACTTTAGTTCCAGAAAATAGGTTTTGTGACATCTCTCTTCTTCGATACAATACTTGTCTTTTTCAGTGCTGGGATGGAACTCAGGACTTCGAGCATGCTAGGGAAGTGCTCTACCACTGAGTTTTACCCCCAGATATTTTTCCGTATCTAACTGAACATTGCTTCTCAAATCTTGTTTGGGAGATAAACATGGTAAAAATAGCAGAAATGTAGATGTAGTGATAATATAGTAACACCTCTTCATTATGTTACTATATTTTGTATTTTTAAAATTTAGATTTTTCTGGGTTTAATATTTTTCCATGTATAACAAAGCTTTTTTTTTTTTTTGCAGTGCTGGGGATCAGCTATTTTTTATATATATTTTAAAGTGGAGAGATGAGTTACTATGGAGAGAAGTCAAAGGAAATGAATTTATTAGAATTTATTTTGAAAACATTTCCTAAACACCTAATCAATTGGTGTAGAGTACTGGGCTCTCTTAGTTCAAAACCCTGCTCAAAGATCAAGTCAAGTTATTGAGGGTACCAAGGAATGTGCAGGACACTATTAGGAGGGTCAGACCCTCCTCAAGGATCTTATTCTATAGACTAAGACCAAGCAACTGCTGACATCACAAGCCCTTTTCATGGTTTGGGGTGGAGTGCTTTACAGATGAGGGGTAGACATGTGTACATACTGGAAAAGAGAACTAGGGGCTGGGTGTGATGGTGCATGCCTGTAACCCCAGCAGCTCAGGAGGCTGAGGCAAGAGGATTGCTAGTTCAAAGCCATCCTCAGCAACTTAACAAGGCACTAAGAAACTCAGTGAGACCCTATCTCTAAATAAAATACAAAAAAGGACTGGGGAATGTGGCTCAGTAGTTAAGCACCCCTGGCTTCAATACCTGGTATCAAAAAAAAAAAAAAAAAAAAAAAAGAAAGAAAGAAAGAAAGAAAAGAAAAAAAGAGAACTAGGGAAGGCAATTCCCTCCATCCTCCAGGTCACAGTCATTTTGCCCCAAGCAGCAGTCATATTCCCTAGGAGAATTAAAAGGCTGCTTCCAGGCTGGGGTGTAGCTCAGTAGCAGAGTGCATACTTAGCATGTGAAAGGGGTCCATTCCCATCACCACCCCCACACTCCCTGCCCAGAAAGTTTCAGTTTTCCAACTGAATTCATGGGCAGAAATCAGGAATTCCCAAGGTTACAGGAATTCCTGATATCTTTTCCCATGAACACAATAATGAAAACAAGAAACTTCTTTCTCTTTTGATAATTACACCAGCTCATTGCCTTGGGCCACAGAAAGCAATAAACTCCTTCTCTGGAAAGTGCAGGGACCTAAATGGTATCACACTGAAAGGCACATGAAATTCCATCAGGAATTCTACATTTGTGCAGTGATCAAAGTTAGTCTTGGTTGATGATTTTGAAGTTCAGAAACTCTTATTTTCACACTCACAGAAGGGATATGTTTTTTATTTTTTTATTATTTTGAAAATTAAGATAGGTGGCCTTTGAAGTATCACTAACCAAGTCTTCCAATTTTCAGTGCTGTTATCTAAAGATGTTAAGGGAAGATAGCTACTATAGTTCCTCCACAGCAAAACAAAACTGGAGGCCTGGAGGTGCAGCTCAGTGGTAGAGCACTTGCCTAGCACGCACTAGGCCCTGGGTTCCCTCCCCAACACTGCAAAAAGAAAAAAACAACCAATCAAACAAAACTGTGAATATGCCCCTCACTTTTTAAGTGGATGAGGGAAGCATTGATGATCCATAATTTACTTCTGGGTCAAAGTGAGAGAACACAGAACTCTGACACAGAGAATGTGACAATCGAAAAGGTCTTGAAGCACATTAAGTATGCTTTAACAAGAATCCCAGGGGAATGACAAACAAGGAGACCATCCCTCCCCTAACTGTAAAGATGTGAGGGCAAACTTCATCCTTACCCACGGTCATTCGCTGCACTTGGTTGGTGAGCAAATTCCAACGGCACACCTTTTTTGCAGGAATGTCTACGAAGAGCAGAGAGTTGGATGATTCTTCCCATACTGGAGACTCACCACATCGGCAATTCTCTGGCAAAACACACTCGATCTTAATGGAAGACATTGTCGTGGGAGAGACCTATTGAAGGTAACAGAGATCAGATGAAATGTAATTGCATAGACCAAATTCAGCACCACACCTGTTTTAAAACCCAATACAGACTACACATATAGCTTGTTTTATGGTATTTTGCAGATATTGCATTTTTACAAATTGAAAGTTTGTGACACCCTGAGTGGAACAAACCTATTGGTTTTGTTCTAACAGTTCAGATAATACTGAACATTTTTTTAGCAATAAAATATTTTAAATTAAGCTATGCACATTTTAAGCATAATGCTATTTCACACTTAATAGAATACTGGATATTTTAAACATAACTTTTTTTTGGTACCAGGGATTAAACCCAGGGCTGCTTAACCACTAAGTAACATCCCCAGCCCATTATTATTATTATTATTATTATTATTATTATTATTATTTGAGACAGGGTCTTGCTAAGTTGCTTAGAGCCTCCATAAGTTGCTGAGGCTGGCTTTGATCCTGCAATCCTCCTGCCTCAGCCTCCTGAGCTGCTGGGATGATAGGCATGAGTCACTGTGCCCTGTTCGTAAACGTAACTTTTTTTTTTTTGTAGTTGTAGATGGACAAAATGCCTTTATTTTATTTTTTAATTTTTATGTGGTGCTGAGGATTGAACCCAGTGTCTCACACATGCTAGGCAAGCACTTTGCACTGAGCTACAGCCCCAGTCCTAAACATAACTTTTATTATTAGACAATTTACTCTATTGCAGTGTTCTGGAAGTGAACCTGAAATCTCTCTGAGATATGCCTTTTTTTTTTTTCAATTACTGGGGGTTAAACCTGGGACCGTGCACATGCTTGGCAAGCAGTTTACCACTGAATTATACCCCCAGTCCTTTTAAAGTTTTATTTTGAGACAGGTTCTCGCTAAGCTGCCCAGGCTGGCCTCAAACTTGTCATCCTCCTGCCTTAGCCTCCCAAGTAGCTGGGATTACAGGCATATGCCACTGCACTTGCCACCTGTTTCATTAGAACTGGAAAGGCAAGGCATACTTTCCCAAAGTCAGAACAAGATAGGCAATGTGACAGGAGGAGACATGTAGGAGGAAGAAAGAGCTGATAAGAGATAACACGAGACAGCTTCAGTCAACTTACCAGTGGGATTTTCTTTTTTATAAAGAAGAAAAAAAGTATCCACACCTTGGTGCTAGTGACCCTCAGAAAGCAGAGCTGGCTGTTCAGATAGTGCAAGGCCACCCTTTATGCCAGCACCCTGGTCCCCAAAGTAGGTCAGGGGCGGGCAATTCTCTCATTGGTGGCTGACTTGGGTGTCTGCAGGTCACCTTCTCTTGCTTGTTCCCCCTTACCCATCTGTCGGTGCTATTGATCCCCCTTGGAGGCCAGGACCTTCCTGATCTACATTTTTAGAAATATGTTCACCAATGATAATACACTGAATTAGAACTAATATCCAGGGCTGAGTGTAGCTCAGTGGTAGAGCACTTGCCTAGCATGTGCTAGGCCCTGGGGTTCAATACCCAGCATAACTCCCTCCCCCTCAAAAAAATACCTCCTAACATCCATTTTCAAAATCAGGCAATGCTGGGGGCTGGGGTTGCAGCTCAGTGGTAGAGTGCTTGCCAACCACGTGTGAGATATTGGGTTTGATCCTCAGCACCACATAAAAATAAATAAAATAAAGGCATTATGTCCATTTACAATTAAAAAATTATTTTAAAAAAAGAAGAAAAAAACAGGCAATGGAAGGGGTGGTAAAAGGACATTAGCAAGGTACAAGTGGTGGAGGAACCAACAGCCCCTCTGCTATGTCTTGCTTCCTAAGAAGGCATGGTGCCAGTTTGGCAAAGAGTCTTGAACACAGGCAAGGAACATTCTATGCTGGGACTTTAGGCCAGAGATGGTGATGAGTGAACTGGGAGAAGAAAAAGAAAAATTATCCAGGAAAAAAAAAAACACATCAGATAAGCATCCCATGTGAAAGGCAACTTTCCTCTTTCCCCAAGTCTTCCTTGAGTGAGCGGGCTTCCAGTGCTGATAAAAATTTCCTGCAATTTCATGCTTCTGTCTTATATCTGCTTTGAGCTAAGAAGTCATCCACATGGGTGGGCAAATGAATAGAAGACAGAGAAAAAAGGAAAAATAATCTTTGGTTTAATGTTTCCTTCAAAAACACTTTTTTTTTTTAAACTCACAGCTCAAACTCAGATACTGCCTGCCAGCCTCCTAGCATCTGGAATGTTCATTGGCTGTTAAATATTGGCTCAGACTCCAAAGGCCTTCATGCTATCAGTCTTAGATAAGCCTCAAGATCAGACAAGCGCTTTTGCAATAGTGACTTTCAACCCCAGGCTCTATCTCTATCTCTGTATCCTGCAAGTTGGGGGCTGCCAAATGTCCCATTTCTAACCCCTGCCCTGGCCGCCTAAGGGTGGCCAGGGCGGGGAGAGAGGGGACAAACATCAGGGGCCCGCACTGTACCTGGGGTATTTGTGCAGAGAGACAGGGTCTTTGCACAATCTGGTAGTGCCCCTGCAGCCTCGGGGCAACGATCACAGAAGCGCCAGCGATAGCGAGACACGGGGAAGCTGCAGGCTGAGCTTGCCTTGTTCCTGGTGCGGAGCTCTGCTGTGGGCGCCAGGGCCTGTGGGAAGCGATCCCAGGGCACAGGATTGGGCACGATTGGGCACGGGGCAATCGATCTCCTTCCGGCTTCCCGCGGTTGGGAAATTGGGTCCTGTGGGTCTCAAACCGAAGTTGCCTGGGCCTTTCCTTTCCAGGGAGGGGGTGGGGAAGCAGGCCCAACCCGGGCACTCACCCAGGTCGGGTCGGGTGATTTATGCAGCAGCCAAAAGGTCTGGCAGAGGACCGCGGGGAGGGGAATCTCTGCCTGGGGCACTGTGACTGGGCAGGTGGATGACCTCAGGCCTGGAGACAGGTGCGGACAGCTACCCCACTTGCTGGCCCTTCCCTCTCCTGGGTCCAAAATTACATTCCTTTCCCACGGCTGGAAGAATCCTGCAAAGCCACTCTGGGAAGAGGTGGGGGTGTGTGTGTCGGTAGAGACTTAGGGTGCAAGGAACCTAAACTTTGGAGTTTGGACATATATCTAAAGTTCATCTCTTACTTAAGTCAACAACAACAAAAAGGTTATTAAAATGCCTAACAGGGTTCTGGTTAAATACAAACAGGTTAAAAAGGAAAGAACAAAGTGGTTAAACAAATCCTCCCTCTTCCCTAGTCAGGAAGACCCTGAAGGCTGGAGGTCAACTCTTGCAAAACTTCTCTTTGGTGGAGAAGAGAAGCTGCTTTATTTGACTTGATTTTAAAATTACATGGAATAAATGATCTTAAGCAGCATTCAGACTCATATTCCCCATCCCTGATCCTGCCACCTGATCATCCATACTTTCTTTGAATAACCCACAAGTTTAAAAGATTTTAAAATTCTCTTTTTTTTGCAGTGCTAAGAATGGAACCAGGGCCTCACATATGCTAGGCAAGCGTTCTACCATTGAGAGCACTGAGCTACAGCCCAGCCTCTAAGAGATTTTTTTTTTTTTTTTTTTTTTTTTTTAGTATGGAGAGCAGCAGACAGAATGGTGCCGGTCTCCAGGGACTAGAGGAGGAATTACCTGTCCTGGTGAAGTAAGGGAAACTTCTGGAGTGTTGAAAGCATTCTGTATACATGTAGAGGCTTGAGTTGCACAGGTGTATGTACTGTCAAAATCATTCAGTGGTACATTCATACATTTTATTGTATGTATTGAATCCAAGATCTACATTACCTCATTATTTATCTCTCCCAATTTAGTGTCCCGTTTCCCTGCCATTTGGACTATATTAAAATCCCTTAGTACATTAAAGCACTCAATTTGGCATTCTAACTTTCATTTACTAAGGAGGAAGGGCTAGAAATCAAGATTTAAAAGTACAAGAAAGCTCCATGAAATGGTGCTATCTCAGCTAAAATCTTGTTGTATTTTTTGCAGTGCTAGGGATGGGAAAAGACTTTTAAACTTTCTTCTTTAGCACTAGGGAATCTCTAGGATTCTGCTATGCTTCCCCCCACCCCCTTTCTCTTTTTCCAGAGCTGAGGATTGAACCCAGGGCCTCATGTGGTCTGAGCCATATGCCCAGCCTTATAATACTTTCTAAGAAGTTTCTTCCGATCCATGACTTCCTCTACCTCCTCAGTGCTAATGACCACCCCTATCTCATATCTCAGCCCAGCTGTCTCTTGGTGCTTTCTTCATAAGCAAGTTTTAAACTGCAAATTAAATTTATTTTATAACAGATAGCTATTTAGGTTATTTATTTCTTCTTGAATGTGTTTGGTAGTATGTGTCTTTAAAGGCATTTGGCTATTTTATCTTTGCCATTAACTTTATTGGCACAAGGTTGTTTATTATAATATTCCTGTATTATCCTTTTAATATCAATCCTTAGCAGTGTCATTTCTTATTTCTTGTTTTTTTTTTCTCTTTTTGGTACTAGGAATTGAACCCAGGGATGCTTTACCACTGAGCCACATCCTCAGCCTTTTTTATTTTTCATTTTAAGGCAGTGTCTTACTAAGGTGTTCAGGCTGGCCTCGAATTTGTGATCCTCCTGTCTCAGTCTTCTAAGTTGCTAGGATTAAAGGCATGTACCACTGCACCCAGCTTTCTTTCTCATTTCTGATACTAATGATTTGCCTTTCTTTTTAAAAATCAGTCTCATTAGAGGCTTATTAATTTTATCTAATTTTCTGAAAGAAACAGCTTTCAATTTCAATGGTTTTCTCTATATTTTTTAATTCCTTTTTTGTGGTACTGGGGAGGGAACTCATGGTCCTCACACATGATAGGCAAGCTCTCTATCACTGAGCTATATCTTCAGCCCTTTTCAAAAATTATTTTTATTTTGAGCCAAGCATGGTGGTGCATGCCTGTAATCCCGGAGACTTGGGAGGTTGAGAGGCAGGAGGATGGCAAATTTGAGGCCAGCCTGGACAATTTAGTGAGACCCTGTCTCAAAAATGAAAATAAACTGGGCACAGTGGTATACACCCGTAATCCCAGTGACTGGGAGGCTGAGGAAGGAGGATAGTAAGTTCAAAGCCAGCCTCAGCAATTTAGCGAGGCCCTAAGCAATTTAGTGAGATTCTGTCTCTATATGGAGAGAGCTGGTAGTGTGGTTCAGTAGCTAAGCACTCCTGGGTTCAATCCCTGGTTCCAAAATAAATAAATAAAATAAAATAAAATAAAAGAGCTGGGGATGTAGCTCAATGGTACTACATGCCTGAGTTCAATCTGCAGTACTGTAAAAAAAAAATTTTTTTTTTTTTGAGACAGGGTCTTTCTAAATTGCCCAGGCTGGCCTCCAATTTGCAATTCTTCTGCCTCAGACTCCTGAGTAGCTGGGATTATAGGTGTGTGTCACTATCTCAGACTCTCTTTTATATTTTCTGTTTCACTGATTTCAACTCTGACCTTTATAATTCCCTTTCTTCCACTTACTTTGAATTTCATTTCATCTTCTTTTTTGAATTTCTTAAGGTGGGAGATGAGGCCATTGATTTGAGACCCTTCCTGTCTAATGTGAGCATTAAGTGCTCTAGAATTCCCACTTGTTTTGCTTTTCATTCTATTCAAAGCATTTTCTATAATTTCCTTTTTGAGTACTTCTTTGATTCCTGTTGTTGAGAAGTGTGTTGTTTGATTTCCAGGAATTGGATTTCCAGAGATATTTCTATTATTCATTTCTAATTTTATTCCATTGTGGTCAAATAACATAATTTGTTTGACTTAAATCCTTTTCTTAAAAAAGTATTTTTATTAGTTGTTGATGGACCTTTATTTTATTTATTTATATGTGGAACTGGGGATCAAACCCAGTGCTTCACACATGCTAGGCAAGTGTTCTACCACTGAGCCACAACCCTAGCCCCCTGACTTGAATCCTTTAAAATATATTTTGGGGCCTGGTGTGGTGTGCATGCTTGTAGTCCCAGTGGCCTAGGAGGCTAAGGCAGGAGGATTCAAATTTGAGGCCAGCCTCAGCAACTTACCAAGATCCTGTCTCAAAAAAAAAGTCTGGAGATGTACTAAGTGGTTAAGTGCCTTTGGGTTCAATCCCTGATACCAAACCAAATTAAACCAAACAAAAAACCTTTTTGGCTTAAAACAATGGAAAGTTAATTCCTCACAATTCTGGATGACAGAAATCCAAGGACTTTGACATTGAATATCAAAGTGTTGACGTAATCATTCTTACTCCATAGAATCTAGAAGAGAATCATTCCTTGAATCTTCTAGCTTCTAATGGTTGCTAGTATTCCTTGGTTTGTGCCGTGTATGTGTGTTTGTTGTGCTGGGATTGAACCCAGGGGTGCTCTACCACTGAGATATATCCCCAGTCTTTAAAATTGTTTTTGAGACAGCGTCTCATTAAATTTCCCAGGCTGGCCTTGATCTTGTGGTCTTCCTGCCTCAACCTCCAGAGTAGCTGTGATTAGAGGTGTGCACCATTATGTCTGGCTGGCATCTTTTAAATTCATTAAAACTTGCTTTGTGGACCAGAAATTGTTCTTTTTTATGGATTGGGGATCAAATCCAGGGCCTTGTGCATACTAGGCAAGTGTTCTACCACTGAACTATCCCCCCATCCCTAATCTATCTTTTTTTGGTGGGGGGTACCTGAGATTAAACTCAGGGGTACTCAACCAATGAGCCACATCCTCAGCCCTATTTTATATTTTATTCAGAGACAGGATCTCATGGAGTTGCTTAGTACCTCACTAAGTTGCTGAGGCTGGCTTTGAACTTGCAATCCTTCTGTCTCAGCCTTCCAAGCTGCTGGGATTACAGGCATGTGTCACTGTGCCTGGCCCTATCTATCTTGATAAATGTTCCTTGTGCATTTGAAAAGGATGCATATTTTGCAGTTGTTGGATGAAGTGGTGAATATCTATTAAATCTAGGTGGTTGAAAGCTTTATTCAATTTTCTATATCCTGACTGATTTTTTGTATACTTGTTCTATTAATTATACACATAGACTGTAACTCTGAATTTGTTCATTTCTCCTTGCATTTCCATCAGTTATTGCTTAATCTATTTTAAAGTTATTAGGTATATAAACATTTTTTATGAATTTTCTCTTGTATTATATTAATATAGCCATTCCAGCTCTCTTTTAGTTAGCATTAGCATGACATACCTTTTTACTTCCTCCTACTTTTAACCTATTTCTGTCTATGTTTAAAGTAGATTTCTTGCAGGCAGCATAGAGTTGTACTCCTTAATTTCCAATACCTGTTCAGGTATCTGGGGTCTCTAAGAAATCCTTAACTCTCCAGGCCACTCACTTTCTTGTAGGAGGCTATAATAATTAAAGCATTCTTCATAACAAGCCAAATTTGCTTTCTATCCTTTCCACTCTGGAGGAGATAATAGAGAGGAATTAGTTCTACTTCCACAGGACAGTTTTTCAGACAACAGACATACAAACCTATGGCAATTCCTCAGGCTATACCAGATTTAGTCACAGTGGACCAAACACACCCATGGAGCATTACCCAAGTCTACCTGAGAAGTACCAAAGTCTACACTGGAAAAGGTGGTGGGGGAACAGGAAAGAGAAAACTATTTTTTTTTTCTTTTTTTTGATACTGGGGATTGAACCCAGTGGTACTCTACCACTTAGCCACATCCCTATCCCTTTTTATTTTGAGATAGGGTCTTGCTATGTTGCTTAGGCCTCGATAAATTGCTGAGGCTGGCCTTGAACTTGTTATCCTTTTGCTTCAGCCTCTGAGTGTCTGGGATTACAGGCATGCACCACCACATCCAATAAAAATTAATTTCTATAGGGGGAAATTTTATTGATTGAAAAAAACACTTGTTTTCGGGCTGGGGTTGGGGCTCAGTGGTAGCGTGCTTGCCTAGCATGTGTGAGGCACTGGGTTCGATTCTTAGCACCACATATAAACAAATAAATGAATAAAGGTCCATCAATAACTAATAAAAAATTAAAAAAAACACTTGTTTTTCACTTCAAGAAAATGTTTCAAGAAAGAGTGAAAGTAAAGGACTAATTTAAGATACTGCAGTGAAATTAGACTGAATGGGAGTGAGGAACATTCCTTCAAAAGGGTAAGGAGCACTTGCTGTATGCCAGTGTATTGATTTCCTATTTATGCTATAACAAATCACCAAAAATTTAATGGCTTAAAACAACACAAATCTATTCTCTTATAGTTCTAGAAATCAGAAGTCTAAAAGCATGGTATAGGCAGGGCTGAATTCTTTTTGGTAACTTCTAGAGAGAATGTTTCTTTCCTCTTTTAGTTTCTAGAGGTTGCCTGAGTTCCTTGGCTTATGGCTTTTCTTCACATCACTCCAACTTCTTGCTTCCATCTTATTACTAACTTGGATCATCTTGCCTCTCTCTTATAAGTTATCTTTGTAATTATATTGGTTTGGACCACCTAATAATTCAGGTTAACCTCCTCATATCAAAGTCCTTAATTTTCATTACATCTGCAAAGCACTTTTAACCATGCAAAGTAACATCCACAGGTTTCAGGGATTGGGATGTGAACATCTTTGGGCCTACCATAGCCAGTTACAAGGTAGACTAGCTATGGAGAAGGCAAGTCCCCCAGGTCCTAGATCTAATGCAATCTCAGATTTGTGTGAATTATCCTACTTCTTTGGATGTGAGCCTTTTAACTGTTGGCTTTTGTGTGAGATGACCAATTTTGGTTCAATCATCTTTGTCCAGGGATGGACAGGGATGGAAGGGATGAAGTGGTAACAACTAACATGACTAAAGCCCCACTCAGGTTGCTTTCTTCCTGGAGAAACTGAGTAAGAATACTTAGAAAGCATTTTGGACATAGGAGGCAAACAAAATGACCAAAAGTATGAGTTGTACAGGCAACCTCACAGATTCTAGTTCTGATGCTGCTGTAGGCCTTGAACAACTATCTTAACCAATGGGCCTCAGTTTTCACTCGTGCCAAATGGAGCTTATAGTGTCATCTTCATATGGTTGTCATGAGAACTAAGTCTAAGGTAGTATATATAAAAGGCTTAGCAATGGACCTGATATAGAGCAAGGGCTTGATGAATGTTGTTGCCTTTTATTATCTGAAGGCTTAACTGGTCCTAAGCATGTTTCCTGGCTTGTCCTCATTTGGGTTCCCTAGGGGACCCAAGTAGCCAAGTGCTCTACCACTGAGTTACAGCCCTACCCCTTTTTATTTTGAGACAGGGTTTTGCAAAGATGCCCTTGAACTTGCAATTCTCCTGCTTCTGCCTCCCGAGTAGCTGGGATCACAGGCATGCATCATTGTCTGGCTGCTCAGTCCATCTTTGAGGACTGGAGGACAAGACATTGGCACATTCTGCGCCAAGATACAGGGGGCTCTGTTTGACCATGTTCATTATTATCCAGTCAGCAGATATGACTGAGAAGAATGAATGGCCAGAGTATTGACATAGCCAACAGCCTTGTGAACACCATTGTTGGCTTTACCCCTATGACCATTCCTGTTTGCAGAACTTGGGGGAGGGGAATGAATTTAACCAGAGGTTGTTTTGGAAAGTAGAAGAGGAAAAGATAGGACAAAGAGGAAAAAAACTGTTACCAGGACCCTGGTACACATGCCAGGCTCATCTAAAGCAGGGATAAATATGTTCCCTTCTGCCTCCCGGCTAAGCACTTGAAAGATCTAAAAAAGTAACTGCTTACTGGAAGAGTTTTTTTATTTGGGAGCTGAAGTGATTATTTCCATGTGATTCTAATTTTCAAAATTTCAGCAACTCTTAGAATGGATTTTTTTTTTATCATGTGAGAAAGACTAAAATAAGAAGACCCATCATTTCCATGTGTGCTTTATGAAAGCACCTTCATTATAACATGGCAATATTTTGGAAAGCAAGAGGGGTATGGTGGCCCAGCCTTGTAATTTGTGTGTTTTTTTTTCCATTCCACATTTTTTATTGGTATGGAAAGCCCTGCCCAGTGACTCAGGAGGCTGAGGCAGGAAACTTGCAAGTTTGAGGCCAGCCTCAGCAGTTTAGTGAGACCCTGTCTCAAAAAAAAAGGGGGGGGGCTGGGATGTGGCTCAAGCGATAGCGCGCTCGCCTGGCATGCGTGCGGCCCGGGTTCGATCCTCAGCACCACATACAAACAAAGATGTTGTATCCGCCGATAACTAAAAAAAAAAAAAAAAAAAAAAAAAATTAAAAAACAGTGGTCAATGTAGCTCAGTGGTAAAGCATCCCTGAGTTCAATCTCCAATATCACAAAAACAAACAAACTTCAGAAAGCAATGTTGGGTAAAAAGTGGTTCTGCAAATGTTCTTCAAACTCCAGCCATTGGCTATGATGAGTACAGCTTGACCAGCCCAGTTACATTGTTCCAGTTTTTTAAATTACATAATACTCATTTATCATAAATGAAGTTAAGAAGTGGGATGGAAAGAGTAGTGAGGGGAGGGGAAAGACATTTAAAGCTTGGGATGGTCAACTTTTGAGGCCGGAATGCTCATACCCCAGTGCACCTTAACAATATGAAAAATAATGGAGGCTCTGTGAATTTATCAAGATGATTAATGTATTTAGGGAGTATGAGGTCAAAACTCATCAGTGATTGGACAGAGCAGGGACTTCTCTAAACCTGACTCATTTCAAGGACAACAATCCGATGACTTCAAGTCATTCAATCTGTTCCATTCCATTAAGTAAAATCAACTGAACTCACAGAAATCTCCTTTTAGAGTGCAAACTGGAGTGTTAGAAAACTCCCTGGAGAGGAAGGTCAGTCTCAAGCTGAGTCTTATTAACTAAAATTTACTTAAAAAATACATAATGGCTACTTTCTACTTTCCATAAAACTCAAAAAGTAATACAAATATGTAACAACAAATCCCATCATTATGTACAAATATAATGCACCAATAAAAATGTGGTGTAGAAAAAAACTCAAAATGAATTAGGGACACAATTACTACTTTCCATAAAACTAAAAAATAGGAGTTGAAGTTGTGAAAATCTAATGTGTTTTAAGATACATTTTTTAAGAGAGAGACAGAGAATTTTAAAATTTATTTTTTAGCTTTCGGCGGACACAACATCTTTGTTTGTATGTGGTGCTGAGGATCGAACCCAGACCGCACGCATGCCAGGAGAGCACACTACCGCTTGAGCCACATCCCCAGCCCCTGTTTTAAGATACATTTAAAAAAATATCACATAAAAGTTTATTCAGCAGTGAATAAGTTTTTACTCCTACCAATTTCCCCTCAATTCTTAAAAGCCTGTAAGGGGCTGGGGGTATAACTCAGTGGTAGAAGCTTACCTAGCTTGTGCAAGGCCCTTAGTTCAATCCCTAGCCCTGAGGAAAAAGCAGCAACAAACATGCTGAGAAATTTAAAGTCCTGGAGGGGAAAAGAACCCAGGTCAGTGAATTCTCTGGTTTATTCTATAAACTTAATGTTTCTTTAATACCAAATAGAAGATTCATTAGTATATAAACCCAACAGCTTTTGTTGACTATAAAAGACTGTATTTGTAGTTTCAGTTCTCTAGAACAATTTACCAGAACAAAACAGTCAACCACTAAGAAATATGTGATAGGGGGATGGAGGGAAGGAGAGAGGGAGGATGGAGGAGGAGGGAGAGAGGGGGAGAGGGAGGGAGGGAAGAAGTGGGGAGAGGGGAGAACGAGAACAACCTTACCTTTTGCATATCAGCACTAACAATTTTCCCAATGACCTTCAGCAAGTATGTTTTTCAAATATCATGAAAATGTTTATGATCCACTCAAAGTCCCCTCATGACACCACATAACCAGTATGGCATTAATATTCTCAGGACCCAAATAGAATGAATATTGTAAAATACATATATGTAAGTGATGCTCAGTTTACTAAGCCTTCTGAACCTCATCACTTTAGAGAGGATCCATTTCCCTGGTGATTTTTTTTAATATTTAATTTTTTAGTTGTAGTTGGACACAATACCTTTATTTTATTTATTTGTTTTTATGTGGTGCTGAGGATTGAACCCAGGGCCTCACATGTGCAAAGCGAGTGCTCTACCTCTGAGCCACAACCCCAGCCCTCCCTGGTGATCTTTAATGGTGATTCTAAGGTTTTTATCTTACCAGCCTGATAAAATGGTTTCTGGGTCATGTCCAAATACCCAGAGTTCTCTTTGGCTCCAAAGAGTATTGACATGAATCTGTGCTTCTAAACATCCAGTCTCTCCTCCTCTTCCTCCCTATCCCCAACCATCTGTTTGTTTTCGTTTAGTGAATATGATTTTTTAAATATAAAAGAAACACAGGTAAGATATTCTAAAACCAATATGTCAAAATAAAAAATTACCACACAGACAGTAGTTAACAGTTTTCATAATTTAATGAAAAAGTATTGGTAAAAAGGTGACATTTGAAAAAAGACTGAGTTTATCTTGAAAACTGGACTATATAAGACAAAATGAAAAAATTAACAAAGGTTAAGAGGTAATACTTGAAACAACAACAAAATGTAGCAAATGCATTTTGGGGCAATTGAAATGTATACAACTGAAGGCTCCTTCATTTACCTAGGAAAATCCTGTAAAAATATTACCATTATTATTTCCCTGACTGGAATGATATTTTACTCCATACTCTCCCTATGGCATTACATATGGAATTTGGCTGAAGCACTATTTTGATGTTTGCTTTTCCTTCCACTCACTCAGAATGGAAAGGAAGGAAAGGACACAGGCCTCTAACATAAGGAGTTTACAACACAGCTCTATTATAATTTTGTTACCATGAAAGTGTCAAATTAATGTCTACCCCAGGAGAACTCAAAGAAAAAGCACAGAAGCCCAGTGCATGAATAAGGGAAATTCTCTTCCTCATTTTTCCATTCAAACAAAATATAGGACACCTACCACATATGTTATGGCATGTTCACACATGTACATAGGCACAAAAGAAACATTTAGAAGATGTAGGCAAAGGAGAGGCAAAATACAGAAGTTTTCAGAAAAAGCGAAAACAAAAGGCAGAGGAACCAATTAATAAGGCTTTAAGAACAAAAGTGGGGGAAAGGAAAACTGCTGAGTCTTCCATATTGATGGAGAGAGGGCCCCTGCCTCCACTGACTGGCACCTACTGCAGCTGGACTGTTTCACCAGTAAGAAACTTTAAAAATTGAAAATGGCCACTTTTGTCTGAAACTTCCCACTATACTTTCCCAAACTAGAAGAAAGAGAATATCAATTTAAGGCTAAGAAGAAAAGAGAGCTGAGAATTAGTCTGCTTCACATTTTAAAAATGGCATCTTCCCCCTTTCTTAAATGGGAAGCAGACATGTTTTATCCCCTCCTCCCAAAATGTAACTATTCTCTTCCTCCAGAAATTAATCAAGGCTGAGTTTGGGAACAGGGTAGAAGCAACTTCTGAAAAAACAACTCCAGCCTTTTTGTTTGGAAAATTGTCTTGGATTCAAAATTGATACAAAGCTAAATTATATCCATGTGTTAAACACATGCTTTCAAATTCTGTTGACAATAAAAATCTGTTTCAAAATTAAAGCAGGTAAGAATACTTAACCTCTGTGCATTTTATTATATTTTAATTATACCTCAATAAAAATTTTTATAAACATTAAAGCAGGTATACAAAAACTGTCAGCCAAACTTATTTTAGTCAAACTTATTTGAAAACAACAACACAAAACCCTGACCTGGTACAAATATCCCAGAAATGGTCTCACTTTGGGAAAGGCTCTGGGATCCTTCACAAATGCCTAAACAGAGAGAATCAGAGCATTTTTTTTCTTGGAAGTAGTACTTCTGTACTTTTGTAAACACTATCCACAAGTTAGGTTTTTTTATGCTTGTTAGCTGGGTGAAGAGAGTTATAAGTGCGTCCCCAACAAGCACGTCTAGGAACAGGCACTGGACATTTGTAAGCATTAGGAGAATCGACTCAGTAAGTTATGATACTGTGAAAAGAACTCAACCTTGCACAAAGCAAAGGAAGAGGGTAGTGAGTCTGACAGTATCTGAGAATGTTGGTTTCCTGGTCTCTCCCCTGAAGAGGGTTTAGAGACATTAGCAGAGTTAGAAACTTTCTACAGGCAGGAGCTCTGAAACTCACATGCTGTAGTTTGGAAAGATAAGTAGTTTTAGTGTCTGATAATCATGGTCTCTTGAAAATCCATTAACAATGCAAAGACTTAGTATATAGACTCATCAACATGTTAATGTATCTGGAAAGCTGCCCTCAAGTATTTACTGAGCAAATACTCTGGACCCACTGTTCCCAATAGCTTCTAACAAACAAACCTCTGGACAACCTGAAATTCTTGTAATGTGCTTGTATAAACTAGAGTTGAAACCTTTTCCAAAACTGCAAGTCAATTTGTTGTGGAAAAAATTCTTAAATTTTCCCTGCAATTCCTCCTAATATTATGCTAGAACCCTTTTGGTGTATGGATTTCCCCCCAAATATGGGGCAAAGGCAATGTTTGGGTTAAATTTGATAGTTTCTCATCACCTTTGCATTGAACTATGGGAGAGAGGATGTGCCTTGCTTTTACCATGGCTATCCCGTCTAGAATCATGGGGAGGATTTTCCCTGTCTGAACTATCTCTTCTTACCCTGGCCTTTTCTTTATTTCCATCACTTTCTGCTTCAGAATCACTAAGCTCTAGATCTGGGCAATATCCATCATTTTCCTGATATGAAGCTCTCCCTGCAGATCGCCTGAGAAGCTGCCTACCCCAAAACTGCTCCTTTGGGCTCACATTCTTGGTTGGCTTCACACAACATTGGAGATCTTCAGTGGTCCTCACCCATCTATTGGTGGCCTCTTTAAAGGACCTGCCAAAGTGTTCCATAGTGGACTTTCTAATGCTACCCTGACTGGCCAAGTGGGAGCTAAGCATGGACTCCTCACTTGAGCTATCTTTTTGGGTGACATTCCCAGACTTGCCACCCTCTACACCATTGGATTTGGCAAACTTAGAGTTAGTCTGACTTTTCCCATTCCCAACTGAAGACTGTTCATGAAGGGCTGCCTGAAGGGCCAGAGGTTTCCCTAGTGACTGCCCATGATAGAACTCTGCAGAGGGAGCTCTCCAAGCAGGACTGGAATCTTTTGCTTCACTCCGAGAATGGCTGAGACTGGCCAGCAAACAGTTACTCTTGCTCTCTAGTGGATGTCTTGGATAGGATTTCACTTTCATTTCTAGTGGCTCCTGAGGCACCTGCATGCTCTTTTTACTGTGAACGGGGGAGCCACTGCCAGGAGAGCAGGGTCGGTGATCAGCCTCTGTGGAGCTGTTTTTGCAGTCTTCCAGGGTTGATCTGGGCATTTTTAACTTTAAGGTAATTCTTGGTGGTGGGTAAAACAATGAGTTTTCTAGTGCATTTGTCAAAGGAAGTCCTGAGATTAAAAAGAAAGATTCATTTTAGCATCTGATTTAAATAAACAACATACAGGCTTATGGTAGAATAAGTTCACCTACCCATTCTTCCACAGGTCTAATGAGCAATTGTCTTTGATATGTAAGAACATCATTGTGTAGCAGCTAACGTGAGCTGAACTAGAAGATGGGATCCAGAATGCTACAGATGAAAGGCTCAGAAATGCTACTGTTTCGTGGCTCCCAACATTTTCACCTTTGTTTTCCCAATCTGTAAAATTATCACAAAGACTAGTGTACTGCCTCCTACATCCTCATCTCTGCCCCTTTTATTTCTGAGAAGAATGTCACTAGCAATGACTAGGAACAGGCTTTCCCTGTGTGTGCATGCACAGTACTTAGGATGTACCTCAGATAGACATTTCAAATGCTTTCCTCCCTTCTCTCCTGGTCCTCCTAAAGCAAGTCAACTACAAATCCTCAGAAGTCTAGTACAGATTTTGGTGTGTGAAGAATAAATATATATTTCAGCCTGACATTAGAAGTCATGGTGGTTCCTGCAAATTTTATGTCTTTAACCTGGAATAATTTCCTAAGTATGAATGAACATTATGGAGATATGGGGAGGTTGTGTAGTATAGATAAGGTCAGCAGGAAAGAATCACAATATTTCTGCCACTGACTGGTTATAGGCATGGCCTGGGGAGTTTTGGTAGTCAGTTACCTGATTAAGTCACCCTATGATTGCAGTTAGAACTGGTCTTCCTCTATTATTTTGAGTGTTCTTAAATAAAAAAGAACACTACCAAACAATTCCTATTTGCATATGGATTTAACCTTTACCCACAGTCATCCTCATGAGATACGGAGAGGACAGCTCTTGGGTGCCCCAATGGGCAGCATGTATTTTCCAAGGGTCTAGGTTGAATAGCCACAGCTCCCATCCCTTCTAGGGCCTGACACCTGTTGATGCTGCAAGCCACAATGAGGTTGATTCCTATAATCAGAAGCCTTGTGGCTGGGGCCAATCTCCTTGGCATGCAGGGGCTCTTTCCTATTGTGTTTTGGTTCTTGTCTTGCCAGTCATGCTGCCCTGTGGCTGAGTAGCCTTGCTGTCTCCTGCTACACAATTCTGTGACCCAGTAATACTCAGCAATACCCCAGAGCCTCTGATGCCTACTTGACACCTCATTTCTGAGTGATTCTCTTGGTTTATGGCTTGCCTTGGCAGTAGCTAATTCTGCTTATCCTGCCCAGTGACCCATAGTTGCTCAGGCTCTGCCACCTAACTCTGTTTTAAATAAGGTGAAGGGAGGTTAATAGATTTCACTGAATATGACTGTCATCATTTCAGCCAAATTCCCATGTTTTGGGCACTGTAATTATGCTCACCTGTATCTCACCAAGTGGGATGTGTACCCAGCTGAAAGGGATTCTATCTTGCTGACTGCTTTTCTTCTAGATCAGTTCCTAGACCTAATAGGTGCTCAATATTTTTTAATAAATGAAAACAAGATCTCTTAATTTCTAGCTAAGGATTTGTTTTAATAGAGCACTATAAAGTAACCCTGGAATTAAATGTTTTCTAGAAATGGATTCAATCCTATCAATTTCTAAATGAATTTGATAATCACAGGATAATTTCATGGCTACACCCAATGGCTTCAAATGCCTGTCTTGGATCTAGATGATCTGCCAGAGACTTCCCCCCAACCCTACCCTGGAATTGCTTGCTTCATGAGCTGACAGGGAAATGAGTCATGTTAATATCAGGACTGGACTGAAGCAAATGAGATATCTGACAAGAATTTTAAAAGATCTTTTAAGTGGAAAAACTGGCATAAAGTTTAAATTAGAATAAAATAGGATGTAACAGAATCTGTATATTTGCCAGGATAATTTAATATACTAATTACCTGCAGCAATTTCTTGGTTAACAAGCTGGACTTGCAAACCGAAGATCTGTTCTTGTATTTTGTTGTGTGACAGTTTCAGCTTCTCTCGCCTGCTTATCATGTAGCACAGATTTCGGACCTGAAAGCCAAATTCCCAGCATTTAGAGTTGTTTATCACATTAAGCAAACCCAGCAAATGAAATTGTTTAGTGAAAATGAAGACTACTAAGGTCAGGTGGGGGTGGGAGTAAGGAGCAAAGATAGGACCCAAGAGCCAAAGGCTAACAGCCACTCCCCAGGAATTCACACAATAGGGTCAAGTTTAGTAGCGTGATTCCCATATCAATCAGCAGCATAAGCAAAGCACCTTCTGAAATCTACTCTTCCTGCAGTGTCATGGGCTTGATATTTATGTACATATCAAAGCTGGGAAGATGGTTTAACAATTCAGCTTTCCCTTTAGGTCCCTGAATACAAAGGATGGCAGTGCTGGCTCCACTACAATTTTCTACCAAGTGCTGGACCAGCAAGGTGAAAGGTATGCTTGGAAGACTGGAAATGGCTTTTTTTGGTCCACATTTTCAACTTAGCCAAGTTTCCATAGCCACAAAGGTAAAATTCTCACTGTCTCATACTCCTCACTTGGGCAAGTTACCCAAACTTTCTGGGCCTCAATTTATTCACATACAAATAGGAATGATAATAATAGATTTTTTCCCATAAGCATGTTAGAATTATATGAATTAATATTTATAAAATTCTTAGAACAGTGTTGGTAATAATAGTACTAATGGTAGGTGCTATATACATGTCTCTTAAGTTTTAAAGTGAGTCAAATCTAATAGTTTCTTTTCAAATTTTGGTATCAGAGGGGGGAAATCAAGCCATTTCTATAATTATATTCAATTATAAAATTCTCTAGGGTAAACATAGTACTTAACCTTTCTCCGAACCCCTAAAGCACCTAATTTAGAAGATACCTGATAAAATTATCATGAGTTAAATTATCTGGTAGAGGGGCTCTCAACCAGGGGCAATTTTGACTCCCAGAAGAAACATGGTAATTTGGAGACATTTTTGGTTGTCACAACTAGATGTGTATGAGCAGTGCTACTGGTATCTACTGGGTAGAGGCCAGTGATAATGGTACATATCTTAATGCCTATGCTGGGCACAGTAGTGCACAAATGTAATCCCAGCGATTCAGGAGGCTGAGGCAGGAAGATTCCAAGTTCATGGTCAGCCCCAGTCACTTAGTGAGGCCCTAAGGAATTTAGTGAAATTATCTCAAAATGAAAAATAAAAAAAAGGGCTGGGGATATAGGTCAGTGGCAGAGCACCCCTGATCCCAATCCCCATCACCAAAACAAAGAAAACAAAATCTTCCCTAAAACAAAGGGAAGCCTGCTACAACAAACAACTATCCAGCCCAAAATGTTAATAGTGATGAGATGGGGCATGAGGGCACATGCCTGTAATCCCAGGAGGCTGAGGCAGGAGGATTGCAAGTTCTAGGTCAGCCTCAACAACTTTGTGAGACTCTATCTCAAAATTAAAAAATAAAATGAAATAAAAAGGGTTGGGATGTAGCTCAGTGGTAAAGTGGGTTCAATCCTCAGTACCATAAAAACAAACAAACAAAACAAAACAAAACAAAAAAACCTACCACCATCCCAACAAAAAACCAAAATATCAAGAGTGCAAAGTTTGGGGGCTGGGGTTGTGGCTCAGTGGTAGAGCACTTGCCTAGCATGGTGAGGCACTGGGTTTGATCCTCAGCACCACATATAAATAAATAAAGTCCATTAATAACTAAAAAATATTTTTAAAAAAGAGTGCCAAGCTTTAGAAACCCTGATCTAGAGTTTTCCTGAACAAAATTCACTTTTTTTCTGGCCTGAAGTCTCATAAATGTGTCAGTAAAGTATAGCTGAGCCAGTTTAGGCTCCACAGTGAATAAAAAGTAAACAAAATGAGAATTTATTTCAAATTTCAAATTCACTGAGCATATGTGTTGAGGCCTCTCTAATCCCTTGAATGTGCCTGTCAAAATTTAAACAGAGCCCAACATCTGGGGCCATAGTAAAATCAGAAAATAAAGGACATGCAGAAGACTACACCATACTGAGCTGGCCATCTTTAAACTAGAAGAGGGACCTCCATCTCTATGCAGAACTGAGATTTGCACACTAATCAGAGGTGGAAAACTTACCCTCTCTAGGTCCTGCCGCAGGTGCATGAACATTCTCATGCGAGTGTGAATGCTTTCCTCTTTTGGCTGTACTAGGCCATTTTCTTCTTCTTCTTTCGGAGGAAATAATGGCTTATTGAAGTTGCTTTTGCGTTTCAGTTTCCAGTAGTTATAGATAAAGTCCACGGTTAATATGGGCATCCCAAGCTCGGCAGCCACATCTTCCACTTGTACCAAAGTATAGAACTCCTCTTCCAGCGCCCGAAGCTTCTGTGCCCGCAGGCTGGTTTTCTCACTTTTGGCCTGGCTCTGCTCAGCAGCTCTGTGGTAGGGGTACTCGACTTCCCCAAGTTTCTGCCTGTTTTGGCTATGCTTGAGGCAGTATGACTTGAACTTAACTTCGTCCCCCTCATCTAGGATGGTCTTCATCTCTAGGCCGTGCTCAAAGGCACAGGTGACATGGAAGGCAGTGATGCAGCTTTTCACGGAGCACTATAGGAAGAAAGGATGTGTTAAAGCATCAGGGTAAGTGCGAAAGGGAGATCACTGAGTCTCTTGGCCTAAACTGAGAGCTTTTAGGAAGCAAAGTAAAGATAGGGAGCTATGGGGAAGACTGTTCCTAAACTGACCATGATAGATGCTTTAGAAGTAACCTAGAAAATTTGCTCCTACAGAATACACCAAATCAGAATTGTTTAACTCTCCCTTTAAGGTTTTAGCTTAAGTATTCAAGCCTTCAGTTATCTTTTCTTGTTTTTGGTACTGGGGATTTAACCCAGGGGCACTTTACCAATAAGCTACATCCCAATCCCTTTTTACTTTTTTGAGACAGGTTCCCACTAAGTTGATTAGGGCCTCTTTACATTGCTGGGGCTGGCCTCCAACTGGCAATCCTTCTGCCTTAGCCTCCCAAGTCACTGGGATTATAGGAGTGTGCTACTGTGCTCAGCTTTTTTTCTTCTTCTTCTTCTTCTTCAGCTACTGGGGATTGGACCTAGCTTCTTGCTAGGTAAGTGCTCTACCACTGAGCTACATCCTTGAACCGTTTTTATTTTTATTTTGAGACAGGGTCTCTCAGGCTGGCTTTGAACTTGTGATCCTTCTGCTTCAGCCTCCCAAGTAGCTGGGATTATAGTACAAGTCTGTGCCACCACACCTAGCTAAACCTTCAGTTTTTCTGAGAAGCCTTTAAGCAACTTATAGAAACACTTATGAGGTCTCTTCTCTGGGTCTCCCATAACACCCTATATATCCTTTTATAGCAGTAATTTTCACACTGTAAGTTCTCTAGCCATAGATCCTAAAGACAGAAGCTGTGTCATTAATTTTGGAAATCATTATCAATTACTGAATAATCAGTTGATCAGAAAATGCTTTTGAACAAATGAAAATAAAAACAAAGTCAATATTATTGCCAGAACATCCATTGGTTCTATAAAGGTTGTGGGGGGGGGTGTGGCTCAGTGGTAGAGCAGTTGCCTAATGTGCAGGAGGCCCTGGGTTTGAACCCTAGAACTACAAATAATAATAATAAAAACAAATATTTTAAAAGGTCATAGAAATTATAATATCTGAGTAACCCAACTTCTAGAAATTATTATTGTAGAATTGAGCTGTCCAACATAGTAGTCAACTAGTCATGAATGTCTATTTAAATCTTAAGTTAATTAAAATTGGGCTAGGAATGTAGTCCAGTGGTAAAGCACTTGCCTAGCACATGCAAGGCCCTGGGCTCAATCCTCAGCACCACAAAAATTTTAATTAAAATTATATATAATGAAAAGTGTAGCTCCTTAGTTATACTAGCCACATTCCAACCATATGAGACAGCACAGATATAAAACAATTCCATCAGAAAGCTCTATTAAAAAGTGTGGTTATAGACATTCTGAATGTGTTTATAATATTCTGCCATTCATTCATAGATTTACAACATTTTTAAACATTACTGTGGAGTATACACTGAATATTCATCAGTGAATAGTAGAAAGGAGGCATAGTAGAAATAATTTGGTCCATGATAGCTGCATTTCTTGTACTTTCCTTAGATTCAATTGCTATATGTTGTGATTACAATGTTACAGCTTTCCTTCCAAAGATTTAAAATACAGGGGTACACTTATATGTTTAAGTAGAAGAAGAGAGGAAAGCAAGAGAGGAATTATTTCTAAGGAAATATTGGGAATTTTTCTAAGTCTCAAAGCTTTTGGAAGCCTACCTCTGGAGGGCCCGCTGCTCTATGTATCAGGGGTTTGATAATTGTTAAACAGAGAATGACCATGGATATGAACAAAGACAGAAAGAATGCAAAGTCTGACAGGTCTCCTCAGACACCTAAGAGAATACTGGCAAACATCAAAGCTTTATTGGGGGAAGATCTCATTTAAGCTAATTTCACAGGATAAAGAATTCCAGGGATGGAATATAATTCTAACATCATCTAATCTAGTCTCACATTTATTATTGCTTGAACTTCCTCTATAGTACTTGATTTTAGATCTTCAACCCACTCCCCTTCACCTTCCAAATAAGTAGTATAATCTAGTCACATATTATACTCTTTCACTGACAAAAAGCTCATAATCTCCTACTACAGCCCTCCCCAGCTTTGGCCAATTGTATCAGAAAATTTTGCTACATCACACTAAAATCTGTATGCTTAAAATTTCCACAGATTTGGCAAGCCTCATGAAAATGAGGATAATGAAAACCCAGAACATACTTTTATCTGAGTACCTTTTATTATCATTTGGCTAAGAAACTAGCCAGACATTTCAAAAACAAGTAGTAAAGGGCATTCATTAGCAAAAGATTAAAAGTGTTGGCCATAGTGCTCTTTTGCTGTTTAATAACAGATACAAATATGGGAAGAAAAAACAAAATGATTTTCTTTTTAAGGGGATGAACCTGTAACATACAATAAAAGTCCCATCCACTTAGGAGGCTGAGGCAGGAGGATTGTGAGTTTGAGGCTAGCCTGAGCAACATAATGAGATCCCCTTCACAAACACACTACTACTACTACTACTACTACTACTACTACTGCTACTACTAGTACTACTAATACCAATAAGAAGCTAAAAAGAGATTATCTCTCTCAGGTCAAACTTATAGAATGTAGATACATTAATATAGATTACTCAAAATAAAAGACAATACACAGATAAGAATTTGGTACTTATATGAAAAATGGAATGTCTCTTAGGAAACTGCCATAAACTGGGTGCGGTGGCACACGCCTGTTATCCCAGCGACTCAGGAGGCTGAGGCAGGAGGATCGCAAGTTCAAGGCCAGCCTGGGCAACTTAGTGAGACCCTGTCTCAAAATAAAAAATAAAAAGGGCTAGGGATATAGCTCAGTGGTAGAGTACCTCTGGGTTTAATCCCCAGTACATACATACGTATATATACACATACATACATACATAAAATTCATCTTGTTTAAGAAAAGGTCATTCTGTGCTATTTATAACTGGAGGTCTATATACTTTGGTGATAAAGAAGAAATGCCAACTAGGTTTTGGAACCACTCAAATACTTATTTCTTGCTCGGAATGTGGCTCAGTGGTACAGTGCTTGCCTGGCACCCATAAGGTCCTGAGTTAAATTTTCAGCATGACACACACAAAAATACACTTTTTAATGGTGGTGTGCATCAGTCCTAAAGCCTCATGCATGCTAGGCAAATGCTCTACCATTAAGCTACATCTCCAGTCCAATATTTTTTTCTGAAAAGATAAAGGCATATTCTACTAAACAAAATGCCTTTGCATGTATTTCATTTATTTTTACTCTAACCACTAAAGATGAGGGGAGGTGTTATTATGCCCCTTAAAACCCACGTTTATTCTTAAAATTTTAGAAACACCTCAATTTTTATACCTTTATTTTATTTATTTATTATTTTTATGTGGTGCTGAGGATCGAACCCAGTGCCTCTCATGTGCTACACAAGCTTTCCACCAAGTTACAACCCCAGCCCTAATTTTTTTTTAAAAAATATTTTAACTGATATAACTGCTCTCATTGTGTTGAGCAAGTAGCACTCATACAAACATCTTTATACATGTTACTATATGCATATCAGTGTGGTTATCACATCCACTCACTGAAATAACACAACCCCCCAGGTTTACTGAGACATCTTACACATTACAAAACTCACCAATTTTAAATTAACATTTCAATGGTTTTCAGTATATTCATAGGGTTGTACAGCCACCATCACTACCTAATTCCATCTTCATCACCTCCAAAAAGAAATCTTGTACTCATTTGTAGTCATTCTCTGTTCCCAACCCAAAACCCAAGAAATCACTAATCAATTTTCTATTGCTATAGATTTGTTCATTCTGGACCTTTTATATAAGTGGAATCATACAAGATGTAGCTATTTGTGTTTGGCTTCTTTCATTTGGCATGTTTTTAAGGTTCATCAGTATCATAGCATATGTTAGAATTTCAGTTCTGTCAGGCACAGTGGCACACACCTGTAATTCCAGCAACTCAGGAGGCTAAGTCAGGGGGATTGAAAATGCAAAGCCAGCCTCAAGCAACTTAGTGAGACCCTGTCTCAAAAATTAAACAGAACTAGGGATGTAGCTCAGTGTTAAAACATTTTGGGTTCAATTCCCAGTACGACTACCATTACCAACAACAAAACAAAACTCAAACACTTCAATCTTGTTTATGGCCAAAATATATTCCATTGTAAGGATATATCCCATTTATTAATCCATTCATTAGTTGATAGACATCTGTGTGTTTTTCACTTTTGGCTATTATAAAACAATGCTGCTATGAAAACTCATATAGAAGTTTTTATATGACTATATGTTTTTATTTTTCATGAGTATTGTGCAGTAAAGAATTACCCTTCTCCAAAGAAAGGTTTGGCCCTTTGCCTCCAGCCCCTGAGAGGTAACTTTGAAGCCTTTGGGATGTCTGACCTATCTGACAAGAGCTGTCTTTAATTACCTGGCAGCGTTGGGCCAAGTCAGATAGTCTATGCTAACAGCATGATTTACAGTGCAGGCTTTGGGCCATGTGGCATCAGCCTAACCTCTAGAGGGACCTGGAACTGAGGTCATCCACGTGGGTGGTCAGCTGTGTCTACATGGTCAAGCCCCAATGATATTGGCTGAGCTTTGCAGGTTGACAATAGCCTGGTGTATCACACATTGTTTCTGGGAGAAATAAGCTCTCTCTGATCAGCTCCCCTGGAAGGGTATCAATAGAAGTTATACTCCCGTTCTGTCCTAGACCATGCCCTATGTGCCTTTTTCTTTGGCTAATTCTAAATCTGTGTTTCCTTTCACTAAAACAAATCATAACTGCACATAATGGCTTTCCGCATTCTGTGAGTACTTCTAGTGAATTAATGACTCTAAAGACAGTCTTGGGGAAATTTCAAAATATGGGTACCTACTTAGAAATGGAATCACTGGTTTATGGGGTCACTTTTGTTGACTGTTTTGAAAAATTGTCAAACT